AATTTTCATGCCAAATACTAAATCTCTTATTTTAAGTTCCCACATAAACTTTGGGAGCAAATTTCCTGAATTTTAGAAATATTAAATTCAATCTGTTTCACTGAATTTTATTCTGGATTTTAATTGGTAACTTGATAATCTGAGACTAAGTCCATTTTTTGACTCAGCACACACACACACACGCACGCACACACACACGCATAATGCATATGAAAATGAGAACTGTTTTTGAAATTGGGAAAATTACTTGTAACTGATCCTAACAGAACAAGTTATGGTAGGGAGTGGGGAGAAAAAATGTTATTTTTAGTTGCTGCTTTTTATTTATTTATTTTTTAAATACGTTTTATTGATTTTTTACAGAGAGGAAGGGAGAGAGATAGAGAGTTAGAAACATCGATGAGAGAGAAACATCGACAGCTGCCTCCTGCACATCTCCTACTGGGGATATGCTCGCAACCCAGGTACATGCCCTTGACCGGAATCGAACCTGGGACCTTTCAGTCCGCAGGCCGATGCTCTATCCACTGAGCCAAACTGGTTTCGGCAAGTTGCTGCTTTTTAAAGAAGTTTCTATTTCACTGGAGTGAGTATAAATATAAAAATAATTAAGTGGCAGAAAAATAAGTTTCATGGGATAGTGCATGACTTATTGCCACATGACTTGTTTAGATAATAAATAATATAAATGACACCATTAAAGCAGTCTGGGCATAAATTACATTAGCATTTTCCCTCTATAGAGTGGGTAGGATTTGTATAGTAATAATAGCTAACATGTTTATTGAATGCTTGCTATGTTCTAACTCTTTTTTAAGTGTTCATATTTATAACAAACTATAAAGATAAATATTTAATTAAACTATATTCAACTAATTTTGACTTTCAAAAATATTAATTCATATGGCTTAACCTAATATTATTATTCCCACTTTACACATCAGAAAACTAAGGTACAAAATAATTTAACCTGCCTGAGTTTAAATGATTAATACAAGACCAAACTAAGGATCAAACTCATAGCATCTTAAATTCATTTTGACCACTTCATTCTATGCTTTGAGGGAAGAAGCCACTGTACTTGGTCAAGGTTGGGGGGAGGGTAGGATAAGGGGATCTAACTCATAGATTATAATCTGCTATACCTGATTCTGCCTCTTATTGTTTTACTAGAGGCCTGGTGCACAAAAATTTGTGCACTCAGGAGGGTCCCTCAGCCCGGCCTGTGCCCTCTCGCAGTCTGGGAGCCCTCAGGGAATGACCACCTGCTGGCTTAGGCCCACTCCCTGGGGGGTTTGGGCCTAAGCTGGCAGTCAGACATCCCTCTGGCAGCCCAGGAGCCCTCAGGGGATGTCCACTTGCCAGTGGGTAGCAGGTCTAAGCTGCAGTCGGACATCTTTAGCGCTGCTGAGGAGGCAGGAGAGGCTCCCACCACCACTGCTGTACTGACAGCCATCAGCCTGGCTTGTGGTTGAGCAGAGCTCCCCCTGTGGGAGCACACTGACCACCACGGGGCAGCTCCTGCATTGAGCGTCTTCCCGCTGGTGGTCAGTGTGTGTCATCGTGACCAGTGATTCCCAGTTGCCCTGCTGTTACGGTCAATTTGCATATTACCCTTTTATTATATAGGATAGAGGCCTGGTGCATGGGTGGGGGCCAGCTGGTTTGTCCTGAAGGATGTCCCAGATCAGGGTGGGGTCCCTGCCTGGCAAGCCTGGGTGAGAGGCTGAGGGCTGTTTTCAGACTGGCCACACCCCCTTCAGGGTGGGGGTCCCCGCTGGGGTGCCTGGCCAGCCTGGGTGAGGGGCTGATGGCAAGCTGTCCAAAGCCACCAGCCACCCAAGCTACCAATGGTGGCTGGCTGGAAGTGGGTATCTGGGATTTATTTAGCTTCTATAATTGAAACTCTGTTGCCTTTTGTGGAGGCCACAGCCAGCCAGGGCAGACCAGAAGCTTGGCTTCCTCCATAGCCTGGGAAACCAAGCCTCCTGCTTGCTCCAGCTCCATGGCTGCCGGCCACCATCTTGGTTGGGTTAATTTGCATATAGTTGTTCTGATTGGCTGGTGGGCGTGGCTTGGGCATACCAAAGGTATGGTCAATTAGCATCTTTGGTTTTTTTTAGTGTAGATAATATTCTTGAGAAATTGATATATTTTCTACATCTGTACTGTCCATATTAAACACATAAGAAGACACAAGGTCATTTTAATAACTACATACACTAAAGTTGTCAGTCATGTAGATGAGTACTGTTTTTTGCAACAATAATAAAGCGAGCATGTGACTAGAGAGAAGATATTACTATCACAAACATCTGCTTTCAAGTTAATAAAAGAGAAGAGAAGTTTCAAAGCCAATGGCTTTCAAACCCAGCTGGAGATCATGCCATAGGAGTCATCAGGTTGGAATCCAGCCATTGCTGGGCCTGGATAGTCTGTATACTGAAAGTCAGAGACAGATACTGCGCACATAATGATCAGCTTTATACTTCAAATTTAGCCAAGGATTTGCAAAATAGGCCAGATAGCCCAAATCCAATTTTAAATTCACAAAGGCATAAAATCGTTTGCTCCTTTTAAAAGAAGAACTTGTGACATAGTCGGTCTTGGTGGTCAAAGGGTGTCTATACAATGTTCTAATACGTAGAGTAATGTTAGGATCAGAAGAAATGCATTCCTATTGTGATTGCTGCAATATTTTTGTCTCTGAACAAATCATGACAATATGGAAACTATAGAAAATTGTAGTGAAAATACCCAGTTTCTTTATTATCTGCCACTAAATTGTCATATGTCATTGAATCAGACATCTGTTTTCTGTTTTCTCTAGGACCCATTTCTACCTCTGAAAAAAATTGGATAGGTTTAGATGACCCTAAATTTAACAATTGGCAAATCAAAGCATTCATTTCAATGTTTGCATTTAAAAAGAAAAAAAAATCTTCTGATTAATAATTAAGGCAAAGTGGTGTATTGGCCTTTAGAAGAAAGGCATATTAGGTCTTTCAGGATTAAATGCATATGCATTAGGGTGAGGGAGGTATTCTGTCCTACCAAGGATATCCCATCATATTCCCTTTTCAATTCCATAAGCATTTATTGATTTTCTTTCATTAAGAACTGAACTAAGATAAGTGGCTTGAGAGGTACATGATAAATAATTGATATTGCATTAGTCCTTAAGATTCTTGGAGTGTGAGAGTAATATGTACAAATATAGGTTCGTGTGTGTTTTCCTCTCATACGTCTCTTGAAATCGGTAAATTAATACAGCACACAGCTTCTATATAGATTTCAGCTTCATCATCCTCATTATACATCTTTACATTTAGAAAAATAGCTATGATACATGATCTGCCTGTGATTTTGTCTTAATATGAGGCTTGTTAGTACAGGAATCTAACTTTCTGGGAGAGAATGGGAAGTTTTTCAAGGATAATTGGTTGTGAAAGGAATAGGCCCCACCATCACTTTAGCAGCTCCAGTGTAACCAGTGTGAGTGATTGCAACAGCAGGGATTTTGTAATGGCATTTCCAATTGGTGCCTTGTTCTTCCCCAAGGAATTGCCTTAGTCTTTGCTTTAAGCAATATGTAAAGTTTCCTGAAGATACGAAACTCCGTTTTACTTTTACCAACTAAGTGCAGAGGTGACAGAAAATAGCCTGGTGTGAAAGAGGACTGGTCTAAGGGTCAGGGCCTGGGATTCTCAGTGTGCTTCTACAATATGTCTAGATTATCCACGGGCCAGCCCCCTGGCTTCTCAGAGCCTCGGTACTAGAAAATGTGGTAATAATGTCCAATGTCCTTTCCTGATTCATCATTCTGTGAACTGACGCTTCCAGGTGAAGGAAACAAATAGATCAGATTGTGTTCCTATATTTATGGGCCTCTTTAGGTTCATGTTCTGTGAAATAGTTTTCTTCCTCTTCCTCTAGCACACTGAGGGAAGTTGGAGCTTTCTACCTGGGCATTTTTACAAGGTTCTTCATTGGAAATACTGCCTGCCACAAAATCACCTTTGTTGGCACTAGTTACTATAGCTTCATAGACTTCCGGCCCCAAGAGCAAAAGCCACAGAAGGAAACTGGGAGAGCACCTAAAATTCCCTTCTTTTACAGATAATGAGGTTAACCCTGAGGAGTTTGGTGGCTTTCCACTCAGTCCCACAGCTCCTAAAGAAAGGGACAGATTTCTAAAACAGGGTTTTCTGATTCTGTCATTGGTATTTTGTTTTTCCACTACAAAGAGTGTCCACAACGTTTCATGGATTTCACCAAAGAATACTAGGACGACTTCCTTATTTAATCCTTTTATTGAAAACACAGTATCCTAATAATAATGAATTAGACTATTGTAACGTTTGGGTACATGTACTTTTGGGTTGCTGCAGATATACTGAGAGTTAGGGGAAGCCACATTGAGCATGATTTTGAAGTGAGGAGGTCAATTGTGTGTTTCTTATTCAGAAGCATTTGTTTTCTTAATTTAATTAACCTTAAGTGATCATCCCCTGAAGTCTCCAGCTTTTGAAGAAAAGCAAATAGTGTCCATGACCACTAGACTTTTCTCTCAATTTTTTCTGTTTTTGCCTCATCGGCCCAACTCACTTATTGCAGAAGAGAAGTTAATATTCCACATGATAAGAACTTTTTGGAAAAGCTTTAATACAATTTGCTTAATAAACTGTGTTGTTCCTAACTGCTGCAATATTGCCAAAGGGTCACTGTCGAAGGCTTGCCAATGATTGGCCTTAAGATCAGCAGACATGTGTGCAGTATTACACAGAGATTCTTTTTGTAAAAGGTTAACTAAAGACGTTGCTACGATGATTTGTTGAAACATTTCTGTTGCAAGTGAGTGGCAAGATTGCAAAGGTTCTCATGTATGAAGGTACTTGCGCCTGGTCTTTTCATTGGCTAATTACAGGTGAAAACACGCAGAAGAGCCCTTATTTACTAAAAGCAATAACCCAAGATTGTTTTGTGTGTGTTTTTCATAGGAAGTTGTCCTTGAAGAAGGTACAACTGCTTTTAAAAACTGGGTTACAACGGGCACAGAAGTTTACAGACAGTTTTGGATCTTTGATGTGCAGAATCCAGAGGAAGTGATGGTTAACAGCACCAATGTCAAGGTTAAGCAAGTGGGTCCTTATACATACAGGTGAGTCCCCTCTAGTAAGTGCCACTCTT